CTCAAAGCGACTGCCGGAGAGCGGGTGAGGAAGAGAGGCCACCACCACTGAGGTATTCCACAGATATCTGACTGGCCACTGTGACAACAGGAAGCTGGACTAGCCGTGCCAGTGGCCTGACCCAGCTCTCCTTCCGTTCTCACCAGGTGTGTTGTCAATTCATTAGCTTCTCTGTGTGAGGAAGAGCTGGAATCTGTACTCAGCTGCTCCATGTGGTGAACGGCAGGGTGGTGCCCTTCTTAGGGAAGAACCTTCCAAACTGACTTCACCTACTTTGGCTCACTATTGGACCTTTCTTGGCAGGAAGGCACGTAAAGAAGGTATTGCTCCAGCTGAGCCCTTGCTTGAGCTACAAAGTGTTCCTGAACTCTCCTGTCTTCCCCGTGTTCTGGTTTGGTCTTTAGCCCTTTGTAAGTCCGAGTTGCATCCAAAGTTTGCCCCTATTCAGATAAGCATATTGAAATCAATGGGCATGGCTAACAGGTCTATTAATTTCAACAGGTCTACTCTTGAGTAAAAATTAGTTGGCGGCAACCCCACTGTCCCAGCTAAAAGGAAAGGCCAGGCAATGATTAAACTTCCCTAGGTCTCTCAACAGATCAATAAACCATCAGAAAGGAACGGTACCAATGAAGAGCAGAGATTAAGAACAATTACCTTTTTGTCTCTTGTAGAATCCCCTTTTGTGGTGAGAGTTGTCGTCTCTCATTAAGGCACAGGTGGCTTCCTTTCTGCGCTGCCGGTCCTCTGTTGCCAAGGCTACATAATGGGATCCCATGCCTTTGAATGAAGGAAGGATAATATTTTTGTGGCCTGCTATTTAAGAGTCACTTTGGCTTATCGCTTCTCCCGTAGCTGCCAAATCCTATTTCCACCTTTGGTGTGTTGTCTCTGATCACAAAAGTCCCGATCAGCTGGCTGTCAAATGGCGCTCAAGATTCATTCCATGAACAGAGAGTGATGGCAAGGATTGGGGAAGGGGGGTCTGGGGATTAGCAGCAGGATCCTTGTAGGGATGTGGGCCCTGGCAGTTGCCTGGTGATGCCCAACTTGTAGCGCCATCCTTGGCAAGAACAGAACATGCACAGAATGCTTCAATTGATGGACGGCTAAGAGAGAAAGAAAAATCCTCCAAGTGGAGAGTTCTTATTAGCAGAACTGCCCACTGTCTCTGGTGGGGTCCCTCAGCAGTTGTATATGGTGTGGTGAAAAGGTATATTAACAAACACCCTTGCACTGGGTTGGTAGCATCAGAGTTTCTTCCTGCATAGGATCATAGGAAGCTGTCGGTTTGTTTCTGGGTCCAGTTCAAGGTTGCTCATGCCAACATTTAAAGCCCTAAATGACTAAGACCCCCAAATACGCAAGAGACTTCCTCCTTCCCTATAGACACTCCTGGGTGTTAATATAAGGAGAGGGGGCTCTCTGGGTAGTTGCTCCGACTTCAGAAGTTCAGAGTGCTGGTGACCCAGGAGAGGACATTGTCTGTGGCAACCCCTAAGTCATGAAATTCAATAAATTAAATTAATTTTCTTCATCAACATCTGTCTTCCCGTTCATTGTACAGCTTTCATTGTATGCTGAAGACATGTCTCTTTACCCTTCAAGAGACCCTCTATTCCCATGAATGTAATTTGTTTTAACTGGTTTTAATTTCTGGGTTTTACACTGTTGTAATCCATCCTGGGATCCACCAGGGGCTGGAACTGGGACTGTCTACATATACAGAGCCCTTCTAATGAATTATGTCTCTGCATTGCCACACTAGCGCAAGAAGTCCCTGGGTGCATGTGAGGAGCTCTTCCCTACAGAGAAGGGTGACTAAGATAGGATGGGGGATCTGGAAACCAAGTCCTAGGAGGAATGCCTGAAGGAGCTGCATATGTTTAAGCCTGGCGTAGAGAAGATTAGGGGGAGGTATGCTAGCGCTCGTCAAATATCTGAAGGGCTGTCCTGCAGGCGACGGAGCAGACTAGTTCTCTGTTGCTCCAGAGGGCATGACTGGAACCAGTGGGTGGATGCTGCAAGGAAGCAGATTTTGACTCAGCAGAAGGAGGGACGTCTTAATGGAAAGAGCTGTTTAGCAGTCAAAGGAGGTGGTTGCCATGAGCCCTGTATCCAGCAGTGAGCTGGACACAAAGTCGGAAGTTGCTGGGGTACCAGATGGAGAGCTGGGTCTGGGTTAGGCCTCAGATCTAACAACAGAAGAGAGGCAGACAATTGCACCTCAGGCAGTTGGACAAGAAGTCCTGGAGGAACCCCCAGAGCCTATAGGGTCAGATCCTGGACCCTCATGGGCACCTGAGCCTGAAGAACCAGATGCCTATCACCAAATACCACCAGCCCAGCAGTGCTGGGTATGCACCAAGAGGTTGGCTATGGAACGATGGAGAAGCACTCATCCTCAGGCCAGAGGGTTAGCCTTTTCAGGTTCTGAAGTTCTGTCAAGGGGCAGTTCTGCCTGCAGGAGGAAATCTGGAGGCATAAAGGGCCTCAATCTGCTTCCAGCCTTTGTTGAAGCATGTTTCTCACTCGGAGCTGTCCATGGTCCAGCAACCTTTTACTAGCCTTGCTGTTTCCTACATGAGTTCTGGCATTGGACCAGAACACAGCAGTGGTGGGCACACACAGCTGTAATGGGTACTGAAGGTGCTTAAACAGAGATTCGGCAGCCATTTGTCAGCCATTTGTTGGCAATGTTCGCGGAGCTCTGGCCCAATGGTTGCCAGTGGCTTGAATTAATTTTATAATGAATGATTTTAGAGTATTGTTTATGCTGTACTTTTGTACTGTTTTATTGTTGTTAGCCGCCCTGAGCCCAGCTTCGGCTGGGGAGGGTGGGATATAAATAAAATTTATTATTATTATTATTATTATTATTAGATGCAAGGTGCGTTGGTTAGGATGATGTCCAAGGTTCTCTTCCAATGCTAAAGTTCTATGAGTCTAAATCAGTACAGTAAGCCTGCAACTTACATATGGATTACAATCCAAGGACAGTGGCTAAAGCCAATGTCGTTCCCCCCTCAGACACCCACCTCCTTTCTGTTCCCTTTTTAATTTCTTTTATTTTTTGTCAAGCACTTAAAGCTGAAGGTGCACAAGTTAAATGCACGTAAATTTGTGAGTGTACTCTTTCATCCTTCTGGAAAGCAGGGTAATAATATTCCTGTGTAGGGGAAATGTAACACGAGACCCTTCACTGTGATCTGGGGCTTCTTTGTGCTACCCTGGTGACATGGAGAAATGTTGTGTTGCAATAGCTGATTAAACAAAGCCATTTGTGGATGTTCTTCATGTAGGATAGATGCCAGAAAGTTCCTTGCCCTCATTACTGAAAGTTAGTTGTTGGAATTGTAGTAGCTTGCAGTCATATTTTATTTCTTGTAAACTTAAGGCGTTGAGCTGCTGTAAGAGCTCACAGAGGCAGAAGTGTGACATATTTTTTTTGGTATAAATAATATATATATATTTTAAATGATGCTAGCATCCGTTGTGAAAGCAGGCTACGATCCGGCATACTTCTGGAGAGTGCCCATAGCACAGCAGGAGATCCATGCATGGCACATGGAGAAGGCAAGTCTCAATGGCTACCAGCCTCCACTTTCTGATGCAGTATATCTGTGAATGAAAGTTTCTGAGAATCACAAATAGGGAGATTGCTGTTGGCCTCTGTGAGAATAGGATGCTGAACTAGATGGCCTGACCCAGCAGCCTTTTCTTATGTTCTTAATGCTCCCAGCCTGCTCAGTGAAAGAGCGCATGCTCTCCGTTTTAGCAGTCCTACTGAATGTTGAGCAAAGATCTAAAAATTAATTGAATTCCTCCCACTCAAGACTGATGGCCGATCATTTATTTGGGATTTCGAATGCCCTTGCTGTGAAATAGTTGGAGAGTGGGATTTTTTTTTTACAGCTGCATTAGGGAGTTAATAAGTCTATTACTCACGGAAGATTTAATTTGCCTCAATAATCCCATCTGTAACCATATTTCTGTGCAGTTTCTGCGTAATTGCTTCTCCCAGTGACTGATGTCATCCTGAGCAACTTGTCTGGGCAGTGAACACTTGGTTAACACAATCGGAGGTGCCAGAGTTGGATTTCAGGTTTACTCTTCTAAGTAATGATGGGTGAGCTTGCTCATGTGGGATTTGGAAGAGACTCACTTGAAACAAGCTGAAACCGGATAGGATTGGCTGGCTTTAAATACTGCATTTTAAAACAAGGGGAAGGACTGCAACTCTTAAATGCAGGAGGTCCCACATTCAAATGCCAGAACCTTCAAGTAGGATTGGGAATGCCCTTAGTCTGAAATCCTGGAGTGCCGCTGCCAGGCAGTGTGGATAACACTGAGCCAGATGGTCCTGATTTGGGGAAAACTGCAGACAGTGAAGCAGATTAGATGACTTCAAAAGCATTTATAGTGAAAATAGTGCCCGTCTGGCAGAGCTGTGCCAAGTGGGTACAGGAGTTGTTAACAAACATATCTACTAATGGATTAAAAAGGTAAAGGGACCCCTGACCATTAGGTCCAGTCGCGGACGTCTCTGGGGTTGCGGCGCTCATCTCGCTTTATTGGCCGAGGGAGCCGGCGTACAGCTTCCGGGCCATGTGGCCAGCATGACTAAGCCGCTTCTGGCAAACCAGAGCAGTGCACGGTAATGCCGTTTACCTTCCCACCAGAGCGGTACCTATTTATCTACTTGCACTTTGACATGCTTTTGAACTGCCAGGTTGGCAGGAGCAGGGACTGAACAACGGGAGCTCACCCTGTTGCGGGGATTTGAACCGCCGACCTTCTGATTGGCAAGTCCTAGGCTCTGTGGTTTAACCCACAGCACCACCCGTGTCCCTAATGGATAATTTGAGTTATATAGTGTCAGGAGTGAGCTAGCAATACATCACGTGCAGTAAGTGAAGTAAATTCTTTATTAGAAGAAATAGAATCTGCCCAAGAGTGTCAGATCTAATGAGCACAGCAGCTATTCTTTGGTAGGCCTTGTCCCTAAGTGAAAGGTGTGGAGACTGAAGACCTTCCCACAGCTGCCTGTCTCCTCCTCTCCAGGGGTTTTCCTAAGGAATCTGAGACTATGCTGCCATGCCTGCCTTTGCTCCTCTCACTTCATGCCTCTCCTGGTCCTGGGAGACCAGGGGGGAAGGGAAGCTTGTCATAGCAGGGGGATGAGACACCATGCTTCTTCATTAACCTGACTCATCTCTGTTTCTTGGCCTCCCTCCTCTCCTGCTTTAGCTTCTGATTCTGGGCTCTCTGATTCACAGGCTCTCCCTGCTCACTAAACCTGGTTATCTCTTCAGTTTCCAACATCTCCTCTTCCCAGTCTTCTCCCGCTGACCACTCTTTGCCATTCCACCACCACTCCCCAGGCTCTGAGCCTTCTTCCCTGGTGGTTCCCCAGCTGATTCCTCTCACCATTCCTCTGTTTCCAACCAGTCCATGACATATAGCTGAAGTGGTGCCACCTGTACATAGGAGGGAACTTAGCAGGAACCCCAGAATTTGAAAATGCAGCCCTGCTTCTGGATTCAGAAGTGCAATAATAATAATAATAATAATAATAATAATAATAATAATTTATACCCCGCCCTCCCCAGCCAGAGCCGGGCTCAGGGCAGCTAACACCAGTAAAATTACAATAAAAACATAATGGGGGGGGGACACCCCAGTTTAAAATATGGGTTAAAATACAATTTAAAATGCAGCATCGTTTTAATGGTAGCCCATAGATCAAAACCATAAGGGAGGGAAACATAAGGATCAGACTGAGTCCAAACCAAAGGACCGACAGAACAGCTCTGTCTTGCAGGCCCTGCGGAAAGATGTCAAGTCCCGCAGGGCCCTGGTCTCTTGTGACAGAGCATTCCACCAAGTCGGGGCCAGTACTGAAAAGGCCCTGGCCCTAGTTGAGACCAATCTAACCACCTTGCGGCTCAGGACCTCCAAAGTGTTGTCATTTGTGGACCTTAAGGTCCTCTGTGGGGCATACCAGGAGAGGCGGTCCCATAGGTAGTCCTGTAGGTAGTCCTGTCTGGAAGACTGTGCCACACACTTCCCCCAAAAAACTTTGAACAGGTTCCTGGGGTGAGAGGCTAGAGTTCCTGCTCTGGGAAGAAATCCTTGTTTGAGGTCACATGGCATGGATAGAAACTTTATCAAGAGCAATACAGCCGCACCGCTGTGTGTGTGGTTTCCTCTCATTACTATTCACAGGAGAATCTCGCACTCCTCCTTCCATTGCCTCACGGCAGGTGTCTCCCTTCCATTTTTATCCAGGAGGATTTTCCATTCAAGATGAAAGCGTCTTTATCACTCGGCGCAATGTGTGGAGCCTGCCAACATTTTAATTAGAGCATTCATTGTAGTGTTAACCAGCTTTCCAAGGAGGCATTTAACAACTTTAAAAAAGAGAAGAAGAAGAAAGAAAAGCTGCTCACTTTCGCCTTAATTGTATTAGCTGGGCCGGCTGATTAAAGTTAAATTAGCTCATATCTCCAGAGGCAAGTAACCCTTTTTGAAAGAATGATCCTGGAAGGTGCTTTTATTCCCTACTCACCCGCCCATAAGCTCAGTCGCCTTGGCAAGGCACTGGCAATCTCACACTGCCATCTCAGATAGCTAATATTGCATAGAGGCGGGAAAGCAAGTTCACAAAAAGCTGGCTTCTGAGGTTCTGAGCCAGTTTGGTGTAGGGGTTAGAGTGTTGGACTAGGACCTGGGAGACCAGGGTTCAAATCCCCGCTCAGCCATGAAGCTCACTGGGTGATATTGGGTGGGACACTGCCTCTTAGCCTAATCTACCTCACAGGGTTATTGTGGGGATTAATTGAGGAAGGAGAGAATTGTGTATACTACCTTGAGCTTCTAAAAACTAAATAAATAGTACTGCTGAGCACACAAAGGGTAGGACTCAGGAAAGAGTGTACAGTAGGTCTGCCCCCTTGCTGATGTTTTTGTCACCTGACTTGGAAGGTGACCGTGCCTCCTTCTGGGGAGCCTCCTATTTTAGAACCCTGGAAAATGAAGGTTCTAGGATGTGGGTGGAGCCTTGAGGATGCTCCCCACACATTCTTGGGGCGCAGGTGGCACTGTGATCTAAACCATCGAGCCTCTTGGGCTTGCCAGTCACAAGGTCGGCAATTTGAATCCCCGCAACGGGGTGAGCTGCCGTTGCTTTGTCCCAGCTCCTGCCAACCTAGCATCTGCAGAGCATACTAGTGCAAGTAGATAAATAGGTACCACTGTGGCGGGAAGGTAAACGACGTTTCTGTGTACTCTGGCAGTCGTCATAGTCCTCTGTGCGCCAATAGTGGTTTAGTCATGTTGGCCACATGTCCCGGGGAGCTGTCTGCGAACAAATGCCGGTTCCCTTGGCCTGAAAGTAGAGATGAACACCTCACCCAGTAGTCGAATTCGACTGGACTTAACTGTCTAGAGGTCCTTTACCTTTACCCACACATTCTAGAACTCTGGTTTTTCCAAGGTTCTAGAATGTGGGCACAGCCTTGGCAAGTAACAGGAGGCTCCCACACCTTCTAGAACTCTGATCCTTGAGGGTTCTGGAATGTGGATGGAGCAATGTATATAAATGTTGCCTTTATACAGTAGGCTAGCTTTACAAATGCTCTCTTTCCCTCTCCTCCATCTAGGCAAGTCCCATGACCCACAACAGAGAGTATTTGGCTTTGGTTGGCTTCTGGAATTTGCTGAAGGATATTTTCCTACGTGCATATTTTCAGGGCATTGAACCGCTTGAAAAGAACTTTCAGATTTATTACATTGCATCAACGTTGATGTGATTTTTATTATAATGGGTGGTATCCAACGCACGCATTGCATTATCACAAGGACTTTGGACTATTCAACAGGACTTCTTCCCCTCCCTCTTCTTCCCCTTCACGCTCTCTGTGTGAGTTCCCCTAATTCTCCATAGCAGATTTGGGGAGGGCATGTGGTGTGCATGAGGAAAGGAAAGGGGAGAGTTTTGTTGTGCAAACTGAAATTCTTGCAGCAATGGAACGAGTGCATTGGACACATCCCCATGTATTTTATAAATATTATTATCATTTATTAAATTTGCATATCATCTGCATATCTCAGGGCAGCTCACAACACATTTTACTCATGCTTATGTTCTTCAACATGCTGTAAGTCAGCTAGAGATCCTTTTGAGTAACAAGTGGCCAACCAAATCATGACGATAGAAGAATGTGTTTCAGAATTGTTGGATGCTGGCATAAAGAAGACCACTTCTCCTTTTCCTTTTCTCCACCTTAGAGGTGCCCCGTGACACACATGCCCTTTTCTAGAGAGAAACTAAATTAGAAGCAGAGATGTTACAAAACTCCAGCAACTGGATGATTTACTTGACCCTGAATTTCTCTCTCTCTGTGTGTGTTTTGAAAAACATTGTTTCTGTTTGAACTCAAGATGCTAGGCTTTGTATAGATTGGAGTATGTTGCCCTCCTTTTTCCCCAAGGGGAGGCAAAAGCATTGCCAAGAAAGAGAAAACCCAATTTGTTGATCTCTGCTGCAGGGAGATGAATGTGAATTGGTTCCTTCGCCACTTTTCCCTGTGTCCTGGAATTAAATGGACAGCTCTCACTGCCAGCTGAGAAAGACCCCCTGATTCAAAATTTCTGCAAACAGGAATGTGTTCTTCTGTGTGGAGAACAACTTGTTGGATCTCTGCTGCAGAAGTGACACACTTGTTCAAGGGGGGGGGGGGATTCTATTTATATATTTCATTTAGATCCCACCTTTTTCTCCAAGAACTTCAAGGCAGCATATATGAGTCATACCCTCCTCATTTAATCCCCAAAACAACCCGGTAAGGTAGGCTAGGGTGCCAATTTTTGGCCTTGCACAAGGTACTGCTGAAATTTCAAAGACCAAAGTCCGCCCTGATCCTGTTTCATGGGTCGGTGAGATGGGGGCAGATTGAGATAGGTTACATTTTGCAGGTAAGATTGCAGCCCTAAACGCATTTACTAGGTTGTTAGCCACATCGAAGACAGTAGGAGTTACTGCTGAATAAACCTGCCCAAGATTACAACTGTAAATGCATTTATATGTTTTAGATTATTTTCTTTCCCCTTGTTGTGTGGTGCAGACTTGTTCCTTTTCCCCGAGCCTGGCAGGCTAGAACAGGTCATAAATAATAAGAATAATAAAAAGGAGCTATAAATAGATATTCTGCTCTGAATATTTGGCCCAGTATGCAAACACCTGTCTATGCAAAATCTGCCACAATGGCTGTTCCAGCCGGAAGCAATAAAAGTTTGGGAGGATCAAAATACATCTTTATTTCAGCAATGAAATGTTCTGCATTGCCCCTGGTCTCTTTCATCTGAAAAAGTCCAAACTACTTGCTGTAAAAACACTAATTAAATGCTGTAACATCCTTGCAGTGATTCATAAATATGGTCAACAGATGGCCACACTGAAATACTGCAGGCCAAAAAATTATTTTCACCAAAATCACATCAGGGCCATTCAAATGTTACATTCAGTGAATGTACAAGCTGTGTATGCAAATGTACCTGGGCTGTACACTCATTCAGTTCTTCACATGCAGTGTTCAATGAGCGCACAATTCCTGAGCTGTACAAATTGATGAGTGTGACCTCTTTCACACAAACACACTTGTGTGTGTGCAGAGGCAGCTTGTATGTGTATTTGGTGTAATGCGTGAAGAAGCACATGCCATGTTGCAAGGAGGTTGCTGCTAGATATTTAAAAGCCTGTAACGCAAATTTGCATACGGTAATTGATATGAGTGTATTGATTAATTAATTCATTCCTAAAATCCATATGGCACTTGACTATTAAAAAAACCCAAACAGCAGTTTTTTAAAAAAATTATGATCAAATCATGCTGAGTTTTTTTGTTTTCAGGGCGTACTCTGTGCTATGTGCACCAGCAGGATTTTACACTTTGGGTTGTATCCAATGTTAGTTACATTCAGGAGTAGACCCATTGAAATTAATCGGCATGACTTACTTTGGTTCATTCATTTCAGTTGGGTCTGCTCAGAGTAAAACACAGTTGGCGACAACCCTGTGAGTGGATTGGGCCCTCTGCCCCACCTGTCAGCTGCCTGCAGGAGCTGCAGCTTATGCACATTTTAAAACTAGCACAAGTCTTGCCCAACATCTGGAATGGCCTCTCCCTCCCTCTCTCCTATACACAAACACGTCCTTCCTCACACCATGACATTTACCTCTATGCATATTAAAGATAGTGGCTGGGTGGCTTTCACTGCACTGTGCGTGTGTGTGTGTTTAAGTATATATATAAAATTTTTAAATTTATTTTCCATTTAATATTATACATTCACAACATCATTACCCACTTTACCACTTTGGCTCCTTAGAGCCTATTGACTTCCTCCCCTACCCCCGCTACCTGCCTCATGGCTTTCAAAATTAACCTTTATATCACTGCATTGTGTACGCTTTCCAATTCTACTTATACTCGTTACAAAACAGCTCAAAATTTAAATAAAAATAGAAATATAGAAAATTTCTCATCACAAGTCTTCAGACAACCCTGCCAGTGATGTTAATTGCTTACAATAATCTTTCAGATATCTTATAAATTTACTCCAGTCTTTTTGGAATACTTGATCGTGCTGGTTTCGGATTATTCCTTTCAGCTTCGCCAGTTCTGCAAAGTCCATTATCTTCATCTGCCACTCTTCTTTTGCTGGTACTGCTTGTTGTTTCCATTTTGGGGCTAAAAGCATTCTTGCCACAGTTGTTGCATACATAAACAGGCTTTTATCTTCCCTTGGTATCTCTTCACCCACTACACCCAGTAAAAAGGCTTCTGGTTTTTTTGTTTTTAAGTTTTAAAACGGGGAGCAGGATGGTCCCAGTGTGAAAGACTCATGGTTCAGTCCCCACGGCCTTAAAAACACTCCTGTGTTTGAAAACTGTTATAAGAATTTTAAGGTCAAAGTGGGAAACCTCCCCATTGTCTCTTTCCTTACAAATCCTGTTCTCACAAATCCTGTCTTAAGGGCACATTCAAGATATGAACAGGGTGTGAGCCTGTGACCTGTAACCTAGATTCAGGAATTAAATAGTTATAATAACAAAAGAGTGGCCAAAACCCAGATAATGCAATCAGGTAACTTGCCGGACAGGAGATAAACAACGCACTCAGATTTATGTTGTAGACCGCCTTTTCTGTGATGTAGGTATGATGTATTTGGGGGAGGTGGTCCTGGGCTACTACATCCCTTCTGTGATGTATGTATGATGTTTCTGGGGGTGGTCTGGAGTTTGAGGGTGGCCAATTCCAAAAGTCTATATAAGGGGGGGGGCACCCCTTTGTTCTGGGTCCTCCTCCTCTCTCCTTCATGTGGGGAAGCACACTGTTGCATCGGTTAATAAAGATCAGGCTTACTAGCTGCTTTGCTTCTCAATACAGTGGTACCTCAGGATGCGAACGGGATCCGTTCTGGAGCCCCGTTCGCATCCTGAAGCGAACGCAACCCGCATCTGCGCGTGCCGCGATTCGCTGCTTCCACGCATGCACGTGACGTCCTTTTGAGCGTCTGCGCGAGTGGCGAAACCCAGAAGTAACGCGCTCCGTTACTTCCAGGTCACCACGGAGCGCAACCCGAAAAGGCTTAACCTGAAGCAACTTCAACCCGAGGTATGACTGTATTCTCTGGTTGGTCTCTGTTATTTCCTCCTACCGACAGAGAACCTCAAAAGAGGACTCTATATGGGCTCTTGGGTACCTCCATAAGGGAAAAAGAGCAGGGTTTTTGTTTTTTTCTTATATCAGGAACTAGAAGCTACAACGTCCTCCTTTGCTAAAGGACCTCTGCGTGACCTCGCGTAACTCTTTGGTTCTCCTCCTTTTGGTCCTCTACATTACATCCCACGTCAAAGCAGCCTTTCTGGATCAGACAAAAGGCCAGTTTTAATGCTACCTTGCTGTTTGGAGCTCCCAGTGTAATTAGGAAACAGGGGAGATGGGTAAAGGTTAGCGGCAGAGACCCCAATGTGGATGAGAGCTACAATATTGGGTTGGGCGGACGGTCTTTCCTCCATGCTGCAGCAGGGTAAGGGCTATACAGTGGTACCTCGGGTTACATACGCTTCAGGTTACATACGCTTCAGATTACAGACTCCACTAACCTAGAAATATTACCTCAGGTTAAGAACTTTGCTTCAGGATGAGAACAGAAATCGTGCTCCGGCGGCGCGGTGGCAGTGGGAGGCCCCATTAGTAAAGTGGTGCTTCAGGTTAAGAACAGTTTCAGGTTAAGAACAGACCTCCAGAATGAATTAAGTACTTAACCCGAGGTACCACTGTAATTCAGTGGCACAAAATCTGCTTTGCATGCAGGAGGCCCCAGCTTCAATCGACAGCATATCCAGGGAACTTCTGCCAGTGTAAATACGGAGCAAATGGCTCAATGGTCTGGCTAAG